CAGTTGATGATGAGCATGTTATAGTATCACCAACATTAACAACATCATCAGGATACTCCAGGGTCATACGCATAGTATCAGAAGTACTTGATAGATTAACATTTCCATTAAAGTTCCCATCATTCAGTACAGTACTGCCCTTCCTCCATACACCATCAGAAAAGGTAAAAAAGTTGCCTTCATTAGTAAAGAACCTACATTGAAGGCATAATGGCTCTGTCAATGGAACATGGATGGTTCTATCATTTAAAATAAAAAAAGAGACGACATCAGGAGGACATTGAGCCACAGTGAAACCTATAATAATGATGAAAATAATTTGCAATACAAAAAATTAGACTTCTCACCTACAGATAAGAAGGTTACCATCAAAGGAACAAGTAGATCTATCATATTCATCTTTGTTTATAACTCAAATTGATTCTATCAGACACTCCTACAACTGTTATTTTATTTGCAATAAACATAATAATGATACAAAAAATGATAATGAACTACAAACACAAAATATACTAATAATAAAAATAAAAGTAAAAAATTAATCGGAATAGTTTTTGTCACCATACTCATCCCCGTTGATGCCTATAGAAATAGCAAAATATAATCAAAATAGCTAATGTAGATATAATACAAGTAAGTCTGATAACTAACAGCAGCAGAAAAATTTAATTGTACATACTACAGCAAATCTACCAACTAAAATCAATGATATACATGTATTTCAAAATCTGCAACCACTACAGTTTAAAGAGGGCTTTTTTAAGACTTAGCTTGAGACACATTCAAGTTATAACACATTCTCTGATACATAAAAGTAATAATTATTTAAGAACTAACCAGACACAGTCTTTAAAAGACGTCCAACTTCAGGATGCTTTGATCCCAAGTCGTACGGGTACTGGTTCTCATTGTTACGTATCATTTTATTTGCTCCTTTATCAAGCAATATCTCTACTATGACATGATGTCCCTTTAATGTGTATGAAAACCATTTCTCAATACAATGAACATCAATGATGTACCTATTAACATAGAATACTATTCATCATCACATGCATTTATGATGCACTAAAACTAGTACATGTATTCGAACACTAAGTTTACTTGGGCCTTCCTGATACCTTCAAAATTTCAAATAATGGTTGAACTGTAGTAAAGACATAGTTCGTTTTTTCTGTATATCATTTCTAGGTACCCTCTACCTATACAGCTAATACACTCATACTTTAACTATCTAAATATACACACCAGTTGGGTATGTTACACATACAGAATCTACAAAAGTGTTATCTTTTGACCAAAAACATCCATGAATACTATTATTGATTTATGTTCCTGTTATAATCAATGATCATGTGATCATGTTTAGTTAGGGTGGCTGTTCTGGTTAAGTATATACCACAATAAAAATGGCAACAAGAGGAACATCAGAAGATTTCATGAATGTTTGTGACAGAGAACTAGGTAAAGTGTCTATATTCTAATAATGTAATGTGATAGGTTTCTTTCATTGTAATAGGTATTGATGACTTTTATGATGTGTATGATGAAATCAAGCCACTTTCTGCTCATTGGAAGCAAATTGCCATTTCGTTTCGTCTCAGAATAAACACTATCAATACCATAGAAGCTAAACACAATGGAAAAGTTCTCAATTGTCTTCAAGAGGTCCTCGAGTGTTGGCTCAAGAAAGATTATGATTATGAGCGTCATGGTGTCCCTTGCTGGAGAAAGGTGTGTGTGGCTGTCAAAGAAGGAGCAGATGACCCAGCATTAGCTGATGAAATAGCTCAGGAACATCCAGCTACAGGAGGAGCTACCCCTCATACTAGAACTACTCGTGCTAGAGGAGCTGGTAAATGATTATATAATTTTTCTCACAATTTTAGCTGTACATACTTGGCCTGAAATTTGAAAGCATCCTTTTCCAAAAATTTATAATTAAATTCCCTATAAGTACATGTGATTGAATGAAACACAGAAAATTTCACAAGTATAGTAAACTGTATAATCATTTTTAGGTTCTACAGCCAGTATTTCAACTCCTTCCATCTACATTCCTCAAACCATAACCGACTTTGAGCTTCACAGAGAGTTATTTGAAATACAGGAGCAATTTGCTGAAGCGGTTCAACATACAATAAAATACTATTCACAAAAGGGATATAAGGTGCCAGAATTTATTGATTACATCACAGCACATATCACCACTTTACTTGGTCCTGAGCATACTCCAGATAAAGCACAGGCAGTTAGAAAAGAGTTGAAAGAAATAACAACTATTGCAGATTTTTTTGGTTTACTACAAGATAAGTACACATCGTGGTTCAAGCATGAACCAATAACAAAGCTTGTTTATGAAAAGGACGTCAACGAAAATCCGTATGAGGATGAGGATGATCTACTAGATTACATGCAAGATGAATTCATTAACCCCGACTATATAGAAAAAGCAGTACGTTATTGGTCTCGGTATCAAAGCCGTTTACATGATTACTTTAAGAAGTGCATCACAGTAGCTGATTCTGCTTCATATGGAATAACTGATGCTCCTCCTGGTAAAAAAATAGTGGTAGTTAAAGTTGATCGAGGCAACTACAATCAGAATGACGTCTACTTCTTACGCAAAGCAATACCACCAGACCTTGACAAACCTGATTTGAAGCTCTACCTTTGCCAAGTTCTTTCCAATTAGGATTCTTGTTATTGCTTTAATTTTTGTAATTAATAAATTTTCCATTTGGTACATGTACATGTACATATTGCTAGCAATAAGTATTACGTATTGTTACATATACTTTGTCATTGTATGATACATTATTTTATAATTTTATTCTGACCTTTCTTGCTCACCTCTGCTGTA